TCAGTGTCAATCGTGAGCATTGGAAAACAGTTATAAAGAATTCCAAACTATCCAAGATTTTTCACGAGCCTCCCATGATAGCTTTTAGGCAACCCAATAGTCTGCGGAACCGGCTGGTGCGGGCTGAAGTGTCTGAAAATAGAAGTACTTCTGGAGAATGTCGTTCGTGTGATGAAAAACGCTGCAAATGCTGCCTACAGATGCATCACTCATCAACTTTTCACAGTAAGGAAACCGAAAATAACTATAGGATATTTTGCAATGTTAACTGCAAAAGTATGAATGTTATTTACATTCTAGAATGTTCGGTTTGTGGCCTAAAATATGTTGGTGAGTCAAAGCAGCCTTTCCACAAACGCCTCAATGGCCAAAGAAGTGATATCTCTAAGAAGCCACTTCTTCCAGTTTCTCAGCATTTCAGACAGTCTGGTCACAAACTTGATGACTTTAACCGCATGAAGATCCTAGTGATTGAACAGAACATTCACTGGAGTGATGCCCAGCGACAGGTTCGGGAAAGCTTTTGGATAAAGGAAATAAATGTACATCATCCAAACGGCATCAATAAAAAATACTAAGTTTTATTTTTCACTCATTTTGGGATGTAAATATACACTGTATTACTGAGCTATTTGTATACATATAATCAGTATTGTTAAAATTATTGACACTGAGGAAGGCTATTTGTTAAGCCGAAATATTTGTCAACACGATTTAATAACAACATCTTCGTATAATACTATCTAATATTAGTATCGTTGTGCAAATCTCCAGACTTATATAATTTTTTCCTTATCTGCACAGTATCGTCTATTCTAGACGATCCGGTACATAGTTAATTTGCTGGTTGGTCCTTTTTATAGACTTCTATATATATATACTAAAAATATATATATTGACGTCACGTCTCCGATTAAATTCCCCCAGTTTCATTTGCAAAACAAAAGGTACGTCTTATTCCTCAAACCCGTATATAGTGTTATACATGTAGTCTTATACATCACACTTTCCTAGTAAAGACAAATTGTATTTAGTAATCAGATTCTTTGGTTGTTTAATCATAAGATGCCGAAACGTTCTCAACGTAAAACTGTTCCACGTAACAGAAGTTCCCCTGGAAACTTTCTTATATACAATGCCATAATATTCTATACGCTTTATTCCGTAAGGAACAAATACTGTAATATTAATTCCAGGAGAAATAATATTACAGAATATTTCTTCCACTTGAACTTATATTATGAAGGAACCTCTATTTCTAGACAACTTTAGTACTTTCCTTAACTGACCAGTAGGGAATGAAATATTTACTTGACTGAATGGACATATGTACACTGATACAATTGGTAGTTATAGTTTATTGATTGTTGATAATAATTTTACATATCAGCAAAATATTTTACGTCTGACAGTAGTCGACGTTTAACTGTTTCCAGTGTAGGTTCATTTTAAGTGACTTCATTATTATAAAGAATTAAAGATTATTTGTGTGGTAGGCCTAGGGGAGGGGTTGACTAAACATCAATGACATAACAACGCACAGATTTTAGTTAACCATGATATAGACACATGATGGACTATTTACAAATCGGCCCGGGTAGTTAGACAAACAGTTAATAGATTGCACAGAGTCAATCAAATACCTGATAACTACACATTGTGCTTAATTGGAATGAGAAGAAAGGATAACCACAGGCGATATTCATGCCTACAGACAACTGTTTTACAGTTTTAACTTGGGAGGTCTCCAAAATTGCTTTGCAACATTTAATGCTTTTTTAAGTATAAATTTGAGATTTAAAAAGGTTGATGTAAAAGTGTTCGACTATTGTATATGTGAAAACCTTTTATCAATTAAGAATAAACAAAAAGATATATACAAATAGTCATTATAAATGTTTTTACGATGATAGAGATTTCTGAAATTGATAACCGAAAAATAATCATATCGTTTCTTCTTTTGTTTAAAACAGATCACTAAATATCCAGAGCAAAGCTACATATCAAATCGCGCAAATGGTCCTTATCTTATAGTTTTATACCTAATGACATTTAAAAACAAGGAAAAACCTTTTATAACATCTATAAAAAAAATACACTGTGTGTGACACTGTCACAAACTTTCTTGTATGCCTTGTGACACTTAGAAGGAACATTAGTATGAAGGCAAAGTCTACAAGGATCTAATTGCCAGAATTATACGAACAACTTTATACAATTGAAATTTAATAAAAATCCTAAGGTTATACATATGCCTTCGTTAATATATAAATAACACATAGCTGAGAGGGTGATAGAGCAGATTGTTATCCCGAGAAAACATTGTCAACCGCGGCGAAGCCAATGTTGACAATGCTTTTTTGAGGGGTACCCTCTCAGCTATGTGTTATTTAATTCATTATACTGAATGTCCTATCATTATTGTCTTTACATATGAATTTAATTTAAAAGTATATTCTATGACGTCACGTGCATAACAACGTTACAGGTACTAGAAAAATCAAAGTGAAGTGAAGCCAGATGGTTTTTTTTTTTTATTTTGAGTCAAATAATAAAATCTGAGCCAAAACGTAGAATTTAAGCATTGTCTTTAACAACTTGATGTAAAGTCAATTCATTGTCCTTTAAATTATCGATTTTTGATTGGTTTGGACGAGAGGGTGACATTAAAAAAAAATTGTCTCCCGCTCAGCCATGGGATAGAGTAAATTGTTTACCTCGTATTAGCCAATCAAAATCTGGCATTTTAACGTGAAGTATAATAAAATTCATTGTTGTCCCAAGCACATGAAAGTATAAGGGAATAGTTTTCCTAAAATACTTTTAGACTATAAAAACACTATTCCGTTATGTTGTTTTGAGAGCAAGAAAAACAATTAATTACTTGCACATTAACCAAAAGCATGAATCATGTCTCCAAACAGTATTATAAAGCATTTCTCGGTTACGACATTTATTCCCGCGTAAGATGTATTAGTGATTAAGCAATTTGCCTTTACTTCAACATCATTGCAATAAAACGCATACGGTTTTGTCATCGGTTACATGCTTGTGATTATTACAAGAACAACAATTGCATAATTGTTTATGGAGTGTCTTGCATTTACCATCGGAGAAAGAATATGTTTTCTTTTTCTTTTTCTTTTTAGTTTTTTTAATGTTAAACGGTAATCGTTGATATTTTTAAAGAACTCAAGATAAATTTAAGGCGTAGGCAATGTTAAATCTTTCAATGGTTTTCTCCTTTACAAAACTAAATTACCGTTCAAGCGTCTTAAAGGGTTTTACTGGTGTTCCCGGAAAAGCCTGGTTAATAAATGTGCTGATATTGTCTCAAGATTTTTTGAACTAAGTTAAGTTGTGAATTTCAATGATAAATTTCAAGAACAACTCTTCTTTGCAAAATAATTTTTCTTCAGTTTCAAGTTTGATCCTCGTGTATGGCGGATAAAAAGGGATCATATATAAATGTGATGATGAATGGGATGATGCGCTCTTCAAATCGTACATTTCTTAAAAATGCGTGTAAATCTTGAACTCAAATCTAGTATGTCAGTACTTCAGTTTTGACAAGAATTATCATTGATATGATCATAATTATAAATAACCTGTTTACAAAACTTTGATTTTTTTTCGAAACACTAAGGGTGTTCTACCCCAGGAATAGATTATCTTAGCATTATTTGGCAAAACCTTTCGGAATTTTGGGTCCTCAATGCGCTTCAACTTTTCGAGCGTCAATGAGAAGTCTTATGTAGAGGAAACACGCTTTTGGCGTACAAAATTTTAATTCCGGTATTAACGATGAGTTTATTTAGATATTTTACAACACTGGGTCAATACCTCTGCTGGTGGATTATCAGTCCCCGAGGGTATCATCAGCTCAGTAGTCAGTACTTCGGTACTGACATGATTTATAACAAACCTTTCTAAAATTGTCCGTTTATAAATTTATAAATTATTTAGAAACTAAGGTTTCAACTCCCTCAGGCAAAGTTGACCTTAGATGGATTTGGCTATTTTTTTTCGGTACTTTTCGGTTGTATAGCCCTTCAACTGTTTCGGTTCTTATACATCCTTGGCTTTCAAATATTTGGCATTGGACGTTCCTGATGAAGGTACTTCGGACGCATAAAATTTATAACGTGTTATTTTCATTTTTTAGAGCAACGTTATTAAATCTCTTTCACAAATATTTTCGTCGACAACGGTCTTTGTGGTCGTATTGTCCAAATCTTTTTTAAATTTATTTAGTATTTACGACAATTTTATTTCTTATTTATTTTTTGTTGTATTAATATGCGAATTATTAACAAGTCTTTTTTCCTTAAATAACGACAAAGTTGAAACATTTTAGCACTAAGAACTTAATGGATTGATATCAAACTGATGCACAACTATTTGATGGTCTCTATAATTCAGAAAGAGAATACTGATTTGGAATTGACTAATAATGTGCTATTGTCAACCAAATGGAGACAAAATGTCATCTGTTAAGAAAACTTATTTAACAAATGTGAAAATGTCAGACAACATAAGTGTCTAATACTATTTTGGTGCAGAGTTGTTTTAAATAAACCAAATGAGAATTGAAAACAGACATATAAAGTATACGATCGTACGATGATATTTTCAATGAAAATAGAAGTGGTCGTTCTATTTAGTAATCACTGTATAATCAAAATAAGGGCATCTGTTATGCTTATTTTTAACGAACAAGTTCCTGGTGGTATTTAAAAAAATAGATGGTTAAACTTGATAATATAGAAAGATATTATTGTGTGAATAAAAATGAATCTTGGATAAACATCAATGAGACAGCGGTCAAACAACACACAGAAATATCCAAAAAGACAAATCGCATTCCTCCATATTGATTCTTGGTCGTACTTTATCGAATTGTTATTTATTTAGCTTTGAACAATGCCTTTAATTGCAACGTACTTAAGACATTGCATACGTTAAAATTATGCATTTGTGAAAAATAAACTAGTACTTACTTCTTGTGTCAATATAAGTTTCCGAAACGATCCGAATGAAAGGATTTTCAGTATGTCCATGGAAATAAGGTCCAGCATAAACTTTTCGAAAATTTACTGTAAGATTGTGTTGCAACAACAGCTACAAAATGAACAATTCTAAGTGAAAAATGTTGCTATTTTGTAGAAATAGACATTTATTATAAAATTAAAAATGAAAGGGATTTTTATAGTATTGATAGAATTCAACGTTATTATGAAATTAAAAATGAAAGGGATTGTTATCGTATTGATGGAACTTAACGTCAATAACTACACATTTGCATTATTTCATGACGGTCAGTTTTATTGGAAGAGGGTACAAACATGCCAAGGATAAGCAGTGATGCTTTGAGAGTAACTAACAAACATCTACCTTGACAAAATATATAAATTGATAATAGTCGATTGGGTTGAATCTATCTTCATTCATGATAAGGATACAGTTTTCAAAACGATAAAAGTAATTCTATTACAATAAAATCGATCAGGATTTCTTTTTAACTCTATTTCAGCTCATTCATTCAAATCTCCAGTCTTCCACAATGCTGTTAAAAACAACCATTATAGCAATTTTCATGGACAATTAAAATGTTAAATGTCAGCCAACCATGCATGTGGACACATCCATTTGGTACGTTCTTTCTATGCAGGCTGTGATATGATCATTTGTTAAAATCAGTTTTGATGCTTTTAACAAATTGCAGTTATACAGTATCCCTTTGCCCCTGGTCGTCCAACTATTTGTTCTTGAAATTTGAAAAAAAGAGGGCAGATACCATGAGAGCTATTACGGACAATAAGTCAAAGAAAAAAAGACTATCTCATGGAAAAAAGATAAAAAGATGGGAAGGCTAACCAAAGTCCACAAAACACTTAACAGAAAATTGAGCATCACGAACACCACAAAAAGCCTTGGGTAAACTCAGATGCTTCAGAAAGGATCATCAAATTCTCGCTTCACAAGTGATACCAGCCGATTACGTTGATGAGTAATATCAGGTTATTTCGAATTATACAATACTCAATTGATGAAAACTGTATTTCCAATCCGTGAGATGGATTTCACCTGGAACTTTCCACAAAAGATAGCGTGTACAACATTATATAAATAACACATAGCTGAGAGGGTGATAGAGCAGATTGTTACCCCGAGAAAACATTGTCAACTGAGGCGAAGTCGAGGGGTAACAATCTGCTCTATCACCCTCTCAGATATGTGTTATTTAATTTATTATACTGAATGTTCTGTTATTACTGTCATTAAATTTCAAATTCAAAGTAATAAACTATGACGTCTTGTACATAACAACCATCCGTATTTAATAAAGCGCACACTTGATCAAGCGTCTCCGTGAAGGGTAATAGAGTATTTGCCATAGGATAGAGTCGTATTTAATAAAGCGCACACTTGATCAAGCGTCTCCGTAAAGGGTAATAGAGTATTTGCCATAGGATAGAGTCGTATTTAATAAAGCGTACACTTGATCAAGCGTCTCCATGAAGGGTAATAGAGTAAATTAACACCCTCGTATTAGCCTCTCTCAATATTAAATATTCATCTATGCTAGGAAAACGTATTCATTGCATGCAGTATTTACAAGGAGGCGTATAAACCTTTATTTAGACAGGAAATGAAAAGATAAGCCAGAGAGCATTTCTATCAAATCATGACGCCATAACTCAGGAAGGTCATTCTACTTAGGCCAATCTAAACCAGTTGATGTTTGATTATCAGATCTCTAATTCTAAAATCAAAAAAGAAAAGAACTCCGAAAAGGAATTTTAACTAAAGGATCTATAGAGACTGTGTCGTCACCTGAATCATTGTGCATTTTCAACAATGATCACCCTCCACCAGTAAAGACTGTAATAAAGTTCATGACCTGAAATCTTTTTTTTATTTTGTGATGCTGATTTGTTTCTCTCTATCTGCTACATTTTTCGCCAAAAAAATGAAAAAATGAAATAAAAATAATTAGTAATGACAATAACTCCAATTCCAAGTCCAAGTCGACAATTTCGACCGTTTGACTTATATCTAGATAATTTCTTGCCGATATTTTTCTGCCTTTTACATTTTTCTCTTTCTTTCAAAACGTAAAAATGGATAAAATCTTTATTTAGGGCCAATAGGTCCTATTAGTAATAGTTTCAGATGAGAAAAATTTTGCAAAAGTTAACAGTCGACGAAAGATGATGGACGGCGTTCGCCAAAAGATAGCAGAAGATCACTCTTGCCTCTGGGCAAGGAGAGCTAAAAATATAATATATCGTCTCCTTTCCATGTTTTGGTCAGGTGATCAATTATGTGTTAGCTCAGATAAAACAACAAACAAATAAAAAAAAATGTTGGCCCGCTCGTCACAAAATTGAACTGGAAAAGCAGTATGACAAATAATTCCTTTGTATTATGACTTTACATAGACAATAACTGTTTAGTGTCTTTAAATATCAGCTGTATTTGTACGAGGCTAAGAAACAGGTGTAATGCGAGCTTTAGCGAGCTATTACTCCTGTTTCGAGCCGAGTACAAATACAGCTGATATTTAAAGACACTAAACAGTTATTGTCTTTATCCTGCAATTAATTCTGTATATTGTTTGTGCTTTGAAAGACACAAAAACTCACATTTTTTACATTTATTTTCGATTTAAAATCCCTTGAGGCCCGCGTAGTAATATTAAAATCACACATTCAGCGGAAGACGTGTTCGCAAAAAAAGAATCTCGAATGGTCAACAATAATACATCGCTCAAGGTGAATAATTATCTATTTTAACATAACAACTAATTTCAACAGTAAAAACAAGTAACAAAACATTGTCCAATTTGAAACAGAAGTGTTCGAGTTGTCCTACGCTTCAGAATTTTGAACATAACTTGACATTTACTTAACATGCATGCTGAAATTGACATGGTTAATTTTTTTACACATGTACACATTCAAGTTTTGAAATCAATGATTGTCGTCGTAGAAAATACTGCTGTTCATGTTTGTCTGTTATCAGAACATTGGTTTAATTCTTATTGCCCTTAAGAAAGTTTGAAAACAAACAGAACGTATAAAAGTAATCGTTAGTTCGCATAAGGTAAACCAATACGTCATTGGAATGCGACTGCAATACACATTCTGAGGTCACGCAGGTTCATACAACACTCAGTCCGGCAGTGGGCGGAGCTTTAAAGCGATATCTGTATAGTATACAGCATAGCGATATCTGTAGGGCTGTATCTGTATAGTAAGACACCTAATTGCAGGATAAAATGATATAATAGCATGAATAATGTATACCTGGTAAATTGTTTCTGCTGTGTGTTTATAATCTTTATCATTGGAATGTATGAAAGTAATCTTTTTCCAGTTGAATGTTTTCAGAATCGACACAACACTTTGTGAGATCTGAGAATCTGTTGGCTTTGTTCTCCCAAATGTTGGATACTGTATCTTATTACTCACGTCAGCCTCTGAACAATACTGAAAAAAAAACAGTATAATTTTTTAAGGATCGGAAAATCACAGAAAACGAAGTGGTTTTGGTTCTAAGAAAAATATTTTAAGAGTTAATCAAACAGATCTGTTAGAGCGACAACGACAGTTCTCTCGTCGATTTTGTGAAAGTATGTTCGACGATTACCTCTTTCAGGGAAGTTTAGATTGTATTTAACACAAAACTTAACACAACTGAAAGGCAAGAGAGACAACCGAACAATTTCCTTTGGTGTAAAGAAACCATAAATGTAAAGGTGCCTTTAAAAGAAATAACAGTTGTGATATGCTTTTCGTCCGCACAACAAACCATTGTAGGATATCCTTCATTAGTTACGATAGAGGCCAGAAGTTTTGACAGTAAAAAAATAATATCGTTGGAGAGCACATAAACTAAAAGAAATTAAACAGAATCATCAAATCCTGTCTAAGATTAACTTTATCCCAGGTAGCTTTAACACAATTACATCGTTTTATAAAATGGAAATTAACAGATACAATGTTTTATTTGATTTATACCAATACCGAGGCAAAGGCCACTGGGCGGTAAGAATGTCGATAATTACAAATCGACATATACCAGTATTGTCTACATGACCCAAACTGGAACTAGAGAACTAATTTTGACAGTCTTTTTATATTGAAACGGAAATATTTGTCCTTTCCCAATCGCCTGTGTTCAAAAATACTTCATTGTTTTCACAATAATGTCATTTTCTTTATTGCTACATGATGGTATGATGTTCGTCCTCATCTATATTGTAGTTTATCATGTCATAGATTTCCTATCGATTTACTTTGGAACATTGTGTCATTGACATATGGAAACTATAACAATAAAAACACCCATTACATCTATTATGTCAAATAAGAACTAGAAGACTTCACAATGGACAGTGTTACAAGAAAATCACAATGCTACTTCAGTATAGAAACCATTTAAGACCAACATGATATACAAGAAGACAAACCAACAAATAATAAACAGGTAAGATGCTTTTCTGGATTTACCTTCGTCAAGAACACTCAAACCTAACAACTTAAGAAGATATGTACAGGAGTTTTACCTTCATAACTTATATCACGCTTCGAACACACAAAATTTATACCGCTGCTGTTGGGCTGTTAGTCCCCGAGGGTATAATCAGCTGAGCAGTCAGAGCTTCGAAAACGGTACTGACATGATCTATAACATATACTTAGTAAAATTTAAAATTCCCTGTTCATAAATTGAGAATGAAGAAAAAATTCATCAGGCAAAGTTAACTTAAATGAATTTGGCTATCCTGTTTAGGTCCTTTTTGGTCATAAAGGTTCTAACGTTGCAGTGTATTTTCGCATCCCTGGCTTTCAAGTGTTTAGTTTTGAGCGTTCCTGGTAAAGGTCAATCTTTTAAAGAGCTTCGAACGCATCGAATTTATATAGGATTTATCGTATTTTCTGGGATAGTCCTGATCAGAAACGCTTCAGACCTAAATCATTCGAAGCCAAATATATAAAAATAATTAAGTGCATCAAACTGAAAATGAACGATAGTTTGTTTAGGGAAGGTAGGACACAAGCGTCACATTGAAAATAAATTGGCAGAACAATTACTACCACCACAGTGATTGAAAAATACATAAAAAAAGAAAAGCTTCAAAATATTGAAACGGAAACGACGGGGTATTGTGTATTACAAATGTAATTCGTGACAACACGGGTCGCAACACGAACTCGCCAACGTAGAAAAAGCTTACGCTAAGAGACCAAGACGGCGGTCTCTAGCACGGATTTAAGTGGAATTTTAGAGTCACTAGATCTTGATAACGCTAAAAATCTACCCTTATACTTTGAAAAATATTAGGGAACGGCACTACTTTCAAATTTATATATAACTTCTGACTATTTAGTAAATGGGTTTGATAAGAACGGTCATACCTGTAAGAATATTACGTCAGAGACAAACAAAACATTTCTGTAGTTATCTGGAAAAATTTTGTTTTAATGGAAATAACAGGATAAGCAAAAAGGAATATGTGATCAAAATTATTCAGAACATAATTTGTTAGAAGTATCAAAACAAATGTGTTATACACACATACACATACAAAAAAGTATTCGTCACAGTATTCTACCAATGTCTATTGCATGCACAAAAAATACTAATTAGTCTTAAACTGATATTTTGTGATACCAATTGGAGACAGATGATACCTTTAAATAGGGAAAAGGCAAGATGATGCAAATTCGATTTTTACAACCAAAAAAAAAAGAAGAATAATAAATAAAACTGAATAAATAAAGTTTGCGATTGGATAACAGCAATTATGAACAGTATATATTGCTTTTTGAGATTTCCTACTGCCTTTTTAAAACTTCTGCTGAAAACTTTTATTTCTTATTTTCTTTTTACATCACATGATTTTCATAATTTCACATTGATTTATCATATACTTCCTACATGTAAGCGTACGTTTTTCTTAAGTAAGCTCCAGGTCAAACGTTTGGAAACCAAAGAGGACGATAAAACGAATACTGTTAACATCTCTGCTAAAATCTGACATTGTTTTTATTTATCAAATGGTTCAATTTGCTAAGCCTTAATAGTTAAATTAAAGAAAAAAAGTTACTGAAAATATAAAGAAATTGAAAATGAATTTTAATTTGAGTTGGTTGCACTTACGTGTTGTTTTCACATTTTATACAGTATACTGGAAAATACAGCAAACATGAAAACCAAATCAGACGAGACTAAATGCAGCTATCAATAATTACATGTATCTTTCATAACTTTAATAATGGATAACGTACTTTTTTATCTTGTAAAATATAGAGCAGAAATAACATAATCAGAAAAAAAATAATGTATGGTAATCAAATGATAGAAAAGTGTCAAAATCTTGTTACAAATATTCAGATAGTCGAATAACTTTTCTGTAAAATAGGCAAATTCGTGTTTTCCACTCAATATCATGGATATGATAAAACCGTAGCATGATATTATGGTATTAGTAATTGTAAATGAGACACTATTGATCGAAGACCAAGGGAAGTGAGAAAGCTAATAGTTACACATCTCAACCAAAATACAATAATAAAATTATATTATGGCATACTTTTGTCTTTATTTTACATATGGTTCGATTAGTAAATCCAATATGTTTATATGTGTTGAGAAATTCCCACGACTTAAAACTTGAAAATCACAATGTTGAGAACCCCATTGAGAGCTAACTACTTAAGGTATAAAGTTGCATTGACTTCTATTTTAGCATGATATCGTTTGATACCTACATTAATGATTGTAACAGACAAAACAGACTAGTATTTTTAGCAATCTGAAGGAATTGACACGGCTTTCATCATCAACACTAAGACATCTCTTTAATTATCGAAACGTACGTATTTTATGTTGGTTTTCTTTAACTGATATAACAACTGGAATAATAAACTATCTTTAGAAGCAATACAATAATTTCAGGTTTGTGTATTTCTAAGTGGGTGGTAAATGCAGTTATGACGTCTTTAAAATATCACAAATAGAACCTTTATTCACGTACCCATTAAATAAAAAAATCACATCAACATTATTAACTGATACAAAATGAAATATTTTACCACTATCAATGCATAAGAAAAATAGCAAATTTATTTAAACATATCCAGATAAATAAATAGTATAGCATGTACAATTATAAGCCTGAACAAATTTTGTCACAAAATCAAGACATAAGATTTATCTTAAAAATATGTAAAAAAAAAATAGGTAGTTTCAACAAAGTGTATCGAACAAAATAATGGCCGGAAAAATTGGACGGCCACTAGAAAATTAGATGTTGGGTAGGGCAGAAACTTTGCCTTACAATAGGCCATCTCAAAAAGTTGTCGCAAAGGTTCTTTTTGCTTAAGGGCAACCGATACAGTTTCACATTGCATTGTCATTTTTATAATTTTGAAATATGTTGTAGGCCTAGGCGAGTTGTTAAAAAAAAATCCCAAAATAAAACATAGGTCACCGTGCTAACCTTTGAGAAAATTGAGACTGAAGATTTTTGAAGTTTGTTTTCAATCCTACCAAATGTTGCTGTGTATTTATGCATCCCGCTCAGCTTAACGGATGGATTGTCATTAAAATTACTTTAAACCCGATTGCATTATGCAAATTTAATCTGTTTTATAGCTAGTACATGTAATTACAAAAGAGGATCAATTAAATCATTTTAAATAAAATTATATGAAATATTTGATTGTTGCAGATTTAATTTGGCACAGATTTTCTTTCCCCTTGAAAACTTTAATTTTAATGCGCTGAAAAATTCTTCCATCTAAATTGTTGCTTTTACATAGTTTGAAGTGGGAAAACTAATTTTTCTCGAGTATAACAATGACAATTTACACAAATCTGCATAAAACTGCAAAAGAACGACAAGTTTTATTAAGTCGCAATCATTTCATTAATTTGATTTAGATAGATCGCTTGCCTTTTCCGTTTTAAAATCTATATATAGTGAATTGGATTTATAAAATTGGATTAAGATTATAGATGCAGAATTTCTGTTTTTTTTTATGTTGCATATCTTACTTTGAAATCAATTTGCAATATTATCTTCATTATAATAACATTACATGTATGTTTCATTGGACCTGTCTTTTGATTGGCTGACAACAACTGTGAGGCACTCCAATATCAAATTTTATTTCAGTTTAAAATACAACATTTATGACTGCACTGCTATCCGTGAAAATGTTAAAATAATGCAAAGAAAAACAAACGAAAAGCTTAATTGATATAACTCTTAATTTCATGGTTGTAGCTTAAATGTAATTATAAGATTTGAATGCTTCATTTTATAATTTTATAGGGTTGTAAAATTGTTGATCGTGCGCACATTTTTAGAATGAAGCGCTTCCGCCAAAATGTGCTCCATCAACGAACGCTTTTACACCTCAATATGAAAAAAGAGGCTTTCAATTCTTTAAAAAATAACTGCATGCAATAAAAAATA